TATATATATATACTGTAAATGCTACCTATATATATAGGTAGCATTTACAGTTTACTAATTATCAACCAGATATTAACCTCAAAAGTAAATATAGTTTATTATATCTTCGAATTTGATAGTAATAATCAAAACAAATCATATATCAAATCTTCTCATATCAGTTTTCATGTTAACACTAAATCAAATATTATTTGCCAAGTATAGTCATTTGTAGTTCTCATTACACAATGTTTGAATATCTTTTTCTAAAAATGCTATAATGCTTTCTTATTGATAATATATTTATTTTTTATCAACATTTCATAGTTAAGTTATAATCATATTTTCAATCTTAAATTTATATATTTTAATTACTTTAGTCTGGAAATCCTTGAAATTGGTGGGTTAACTGGTTTTCAACAAAACTGGTTTTAAACAATTAGATACCAAACTGGTTTCAATCACTTCAAATTCATTAGAAGGAATGTTTTGTTATTGTATTTTATTAATATTTATTATTAAGGTCTACAGCAAATATTAGCCAAGATTTACAAATATGCCTGTATCATGTATTATTCCTGCTAAAAAGAGATCAGTATTTCTTCAATGTTGGTAAACTCTGGAGCCTAAGTATATTTTAAAACCATGGTTTACAAAAACTGATTTGTTGCCTGTATTATTTTAAATATACATATATAATTTTCTTTTTTACTTTCTAAAAGCTTAAATTTTTAGAAAATGATTAAAGTTCTTTTGTGTGTCATGCTTAAGTGTAAATATTGCTCAAGGTTTGAAATAAACAGAAAAACAGTATTTTAATATTCCAATATTAAAAAGATCTAAAGCTAAGTTATTTATGGACTATAAAACTGTGTTAATTATTAAAAATCTAATTACATAATTTAGTCTGTAGATAGCCAAATTATTTACTGGTTGTAATTGCACTAATTATTAAAAATCCAATTATATAATTTGACCTAATTGTTGATCTTCAACTAGTTGTTTAAAATACCTAATGAATTGTGATAATTTGATTTTCTGATGCTAAATCTGTCAACTATCATATTAATTATTAATTGATGGTTCTAAAAATGAATGATTATTTTATAATTAGTTATTCATTGTAGTTTTAAAAACCAGACTTCATATCTAATGCAAATTTTTTTGTATTAAATATGAAGCCATAATTTTTGAAATAATGTATGGAATATAAAACCATTATGGCTTAAACATTTAAACACATTTCAAATCTCCATATTCTATTTCATTAGGTATTAAAACTGAAGTACCAAATAATTCCATAAATAAGATATTCCAAAGCAAGTTTATGGGCTTATTCTCAGACTAAGCAACTTTCAGAATCACAATTTCAAAAACAACATCCTTCAAAGTGAATTACAAGGAATCTAGATGATCTTTCCAGATAACATAATTTATTGTTAAGGTAGCAATAATTTTCCTTATTTTGTTCTTCAGGACTGCACTGCCCAAAATTTCTTTCAGGAGACTGAATTAGAAAATAAGATAAAGACAAAGATCAATAATAACATCAAAGTACTGGAGTGAAATGATGATTACAAATGATGTAACTTTTTAATAAATAAGTTTCTAAAAATAAGTCTAGATTTATTTCTATTGTCAGAATTTTATATTTAATTTTGTAATTTTCATAGATATTTTTGGATTTCATATAAATTCACAAAGCTGGGTGACTTTTTCTTCACACTTCAATAAGGATTTGAAGTTAGCATACTTGTCAATTTTAACTAATTTACTAATTTGATAAAAAGTGTTCAAATATAAATATAAATAGACATCTCTTAAAGATATACTTAGTAACAACCAACATGCAACATTCTCCAGCAAAGAGGGAAAGACCTCCATTAAATCAAACCAAACTGGGAAGTAAAAATCATCAACCAATCTAATTCTAATCTTATAACTGACTTTAATCTATATGCTGACAAAAACTTACAAAAACCATCCTCATACGGAAGCAATACCACAAAGTCAACAGAATTCTCCAAGTGAGTCCAATGTATCTTGTCCAATTTTTTTGGATTGGTCCAGATTCGACCAATCCTGTCGTGACACGAGTTGGTGATGACATTTTACTGCATTTTACGAGTCTCTTTTAGCATCTTTATACAAATACAGTCACAATTTTTTTGCTGTGATATACGAATCCACATTATATGAACTCGCGTTATAGGGGGTCTACTGTAAATCGTTTTACAAATCAACTTTCTTTAACGAATTTATAATTGAAATAGTTCTAGCACACAAACCACTTGGTCCAGAATGCCCAAGTGGCATTTTATGCATTTTAATAAAAAAAAAACACTTATTTAAAATACTTCACATCAAGAAAGCTGACAATTTTATATTACTACTACTTTCAACAAACAAAGCTATACTTGAAAATAATGACAGCAAGTTAATAATAGTGATAATTGCCTATATTCCTCTCAACTGTTTAGCAAAACTCAATGAAATCTTCAAAATAATTGATGCATGGCAGCACACCACTCTATACATTCTACTGTTCAGAGACTTTAACTCACAAATTGCTGAAATAACAGACTCTCACTACAGTGGACCCAATCAACTGTAATAACATCCGTAATACAGTAAATTAATTAATAACATCTGCCATTCAAAAGATAAACAAGCTAACAAACTGGGAATAAACTTAATAAAATTTATAACTGAGCATAAAATGTACATTCTAAACAGTTGCATTCAATCTGATCATCTAGCAGAATTTACCTGTACTGAACATAGTGATAACTCCACTATAAACTTCTCTGAATTCTTGTTAGATTACTGCTCAGAGTTCATCATAACCTTTGATATATCTGACCATTTCACAACAATAACAAAAATCCTATTGTTTTCACAAAGAAAATCATCTAGTTTGATCAATAAGCAACAAAAGATCAACTTCAATATTCCAAGATATCTAGCTGAAATAGAAAACAGATTTAATAACATCCCGGAAATAACTGATTTTAACAGCAAAGAAATCTATAATCTTATGATTTATATAATGAAGGAATATATTCAAATCGAACTCATTAAAAGAACCATTCAAAATAAATTGAAGAAACCATGATATGACTTCGACTGTTATAAGATGAAAAAGATAAAACAAACCAACTTAAAACTATTTCAAAAAAATTCAAACAAATTTTATTAATTATAGAAAGGGCAAACAGATCTACAACGATTTATTGAAGGTCAAGAAAAAAAAAAACTATTTCGACAATCTTAAATCTACTTTGATAAATCATTTTAGTCTATAATATGAAAATTCAGTTTTAAAACAGATCTAAGTGAAAACACATCAATAATAAACTTTGAAACATGGACAACTTCTACCAGTGATTTCCTGATGTTCAACCAATTCTACCCCTAATATCTAATACTGACTTTGACAATGAATACTTATAAGTTAGACTCTAAAATTACATTTAAAGAATTAGAAGATACCATAAACAAAACTCAAAGTAACACAACTCCTGGAAGTGACTGTATCCCCACCAAATTCCTGAAGACACTCCCATATCCCACTAAAATAAAACTATTGCACTTATTCAACTCAATTTATAACGCAACTAACTGAGCAGTAATAATACAAGAATTCTTTATAACTGAATAATTTATAACTGAGCAGTAATCTAACAAGAATTCAGAGAAGTTTATAGTGGAGTTATCACTATGTTCAGTACAGGTAAATTCTGCTAGATGATCAGATTGAATGCAACTGTTTAGAATGTACATTTTATGCTCAGTTATAAATTTTATTAAGTTTATTCCCAGTTTGTTAGCTTGTTTATCTTTTGAATGGCAGATGTTATTAATTAATTTACTGTATTACGGATGTTATTACAGTTGATTGGGTCCACTGTAGTGAGAGTCTGTTATTTCAGCAATTTGTGAGTTAAAGTTTCTGAATAGTAGAATGTACAGAGTGGTGTGCAGATTCTTGGAACTCTGTTATTCTTACAATGATATACAAAAAGGACAACAAACTTTCTCCAAGCAATTATAGACCTATAGCTTTACTTTCAGTCCTAAGAAAGAAAATGCTTCATATCAATACTGGCAACTAAATTTCAACTGTGAACCAAAATAATGGACCTAGAAGCTAAATTCCAGTATGCTTATATTAAAAACAAAGGAACAGAATCTGCAATCTTATTATCATCACTAATACAACTTCATTTAGCTAAAAAACAGAAAATTATTTGCATCATTCATAGACATTCAAAAAGCTTTCAACTCACAAGGGAACTGTCGGAGTGTCTTCTAATACATTTTAATAAAATTTAGTTAATAACTACGTTAAAAGTATACAAACTCTATTTTAAATTTGTAGCATTCACTAAAAGTTTTGATCAGAGTTATTAGCAATCAAATGTTGCACTACTTTATAGTAGTTTAACACAATTATGCAAATTTTTAGAAGTGAAAGGGTCGCGGAGGAAGACGGCGATATTACATTTAGAATAAATTCTGGAATTTTCAAAAATGGTTGAAGAATTAATAAAATTTAGTTAATAATTATGTTAAAAGTATACAAAATTTTATTAATTCTTCAACCATTTTTGAAAATTCCAGAATTTATTCTAAATGTAATATCGCCGTCTTCCTCCGCGACCCTTTCACTTCTAAAAATTTGCGTAATTGTGCTAAACTACTATAAAGTAGTGCAACATTTGATTTCTAATAACTCTGATCAAAACTTTTAGTGAATGCTACAAATTTAAAATAGAGTTTGTATACTTTTAACGTAGTTATTAACTAAATTTTATTAAAATTTATTAGAAGACACTCCGACAGTTTCCTTGTCAGTCTTTGTTCCTTATTGGTGTATAATTTAAAAGCTAAAGGAGCAGGTAATTGTTTTTCATCCACAATATCTAAATTATTCTCAACATACAATATAAAAATTAAACAGGGCAAATCGCTCTCCCCTCCATTAACGTTATCCTGGGGTGTTTGTCTGATTAGTAAATTGAGTGCTGGAGTAAGTACTATGGTTTCTGAGAGAGTTATTTTTGAATTTTCATAAAATTTGATAATATTTCTATAAATGACCTCCAGGGGTTATTTATGGAAATATTAATAAAATTTGATACTGGATATTTAATCTATAAAAACTACTTGATTTCTGTGCAGATGATTCGTCAATGCTTGCAACATTAAACAAAATGTATTTTAACTCCAACAAACAAAAATAAAAACATAAAAATGCTTCTTATGAAACAATATAAAAAATAGAACAGAAATCTCCACAAAAACTATAATGTCATCTATGCATTAAACAAAATTTAAAATTATGGATTTAAAACATATAATAATAATTAATTAATTAATCCTTCCATTTAATCTTTATTCATCTTCATATATCAATATTAAAGGAAATTCATATCTTTATTCATCTTCATATATCAATATTAAAGGAAAGATCAATTTCCAATTAATCTTTCCTTTAATATTGTATAATCTACTGTGACTATAATCTGTTAATATGACTTACACTGATTTAACTTGCAGATAGAATTAGAAAGATTAAATTAGTCTATTGGTTCAAAAGAATAAACTTTCAGGTACAAATAAAGAAAGTTTATTTTTTTGAACCAACAGATCAATTCATCTCTAATTTTTTCCACAAGTTAAATCAGTATAATAATATTTATTAATAAATTCTAGACACAATAGACTAATATTAATAATAAATATTAAATAAAGAAATTATTCCATCTTCCCTAGCATCTTCCAGTTGATAGATATGCTAATTATTTCTACAGCATTAGGGTATGTCCTCAGTGGCACAGCGTAAAACAACCACAGGTGGAAAGAATCTTTGTACACACTTCCTACTTGCAAACAACCTCTGTCCAGAGTGAACACATGTTGCTTACAAAATGGCAGTAAGACAACTTCATGGATGTGACATGCATTAAAAAAGTAAATTTTATCACTAACTAGATGTACAAGAAGTAAAAAGAATCTTCACAGAATAAGTTAAAAAAAACATTTTACTTTCAAAATGTTGCATTTACATAATCAGAAATTATTAAATTACTTAAAAATTATTAATTAAAGTATATACAACATATATACACAAGTTATTTGGCATTCTATTTTCACTCATCCACAAAATCAGCCATTTTCTTCTTTGGAAGTGTGATCAGTGGAAGCGGCAATCAAACTTGCTTGGTAGCTGCTTCATGCATGTCAAGTATCATCTGGTGGTTGCTGCATACTAAACACAGTTACTCTGGACACACATACAATTGTACCAGTCTGTCCACTCTGCTTGATAGCATGTTCACTGGATGCTGCCATGTAGGACATATCCTTAGATGACAATTAACTTGTGTTTGAAAGTACTAAAACTAAGAATGTTTTAAATTTTGTATTATACTTCATAAAAATAATTTTTCTGGTTAGTACTGTTTACTGCTTATATCTATAATTTTTCTTCTCTCATTTGTTTTATTATAATAAAGCTAACCACTTGAAAACTTAGAATAATTTCTTAAATAAAAGTATAATGCATAACTTATTTGTTTGTGCAGTTGAAAGTTATAAAAATTTATTAATATATTTTTATTAAAAAGCTAGTAGTGAATTTCATAAGTAATTAAATATTATGTATAAAATTTACCTTTTTTAAAAATTAAATATAAAATTATTTGATGTTATATTAATTAATTAAAAAGAAAAAGTATAATGTAATTTCTACTTACTCATTTTACCAGAAGTAATTTGTATGGCATCTAACTTTTGGTCAATAGCATCCACAACATCCTTAGCAGGTTGTTTCTTACTAATTTTTTTATATAAATAAATAGCAGAAGGATCGGCAGGAGGTTTGTCAATGATTGTACGATTAACAAGAGGTCTTTTTCCTCTCCTTTTACTGAAAATATATAAAAATATAAAATAAAAGTTTATACTTTCTTTCACAGGTAGTAAAATACAATAGTAATAAATACCTCATCCAAATTCGATTCTCAGTATTATTAGTAAATCTCCAAACGTAGCCAATTATTGAAATAATCAAAGTCAAGAAAATTATTATTGGCCTCATCAAATGAAGATCGGCAGCTGGTATTAAATCATCAATTATGGTAGAGTAGACTGCTTGTAATACAACCCATACTAATGCTACAGTTGCATCAATTCTTCTCAGTCTAAATTATAAAATAATAATAAATATATCAGAAAATTTTAATAGATTCAATTAAAAGTTTCAAAAAATTAATTAACTCAGATTACTTGTAAATATAATGCATGATAGTCTTATCTAAATAAGACCAATCATACTACATAAAATCAAATAAAAATTTCATTACATTTAAAAATGTATATTATTATTATGAATGCAATTTGTATTGCTGTAGGATGTAACAGTAATTAACTGCATTACCATTAAGTAATTTTTCCAAGCATTTTTAGCTTAAAAATAAACGTTTATCATGCATTTTTATTGCAGCTTTATTAACTTGATAAATAACAAAATGTTCAACATTTACCTTGAAAATTACATCTTTTATCTATATAATTATTGTCACAGTTAATAGAGTAAATATTAATAACTTCAAAACATATTTTATATTAAATTTAATTATTAATACAAGAAAATAATATTTTTAACAACTAATAACGTTAACAAATTATGTACATAATATATTTAGCTATGAAGTTTAAAAATTTCTTTATATTTTTCTTTGTTTAACGAAAAAACAAAATTTTTTAAATTTAAAATATTTAAATTAGAAAGTTATGTTTTATCTATTTAATATATTCAAATATGATTGATATCACTCTTGATATTAATAAAACATTTATAAAAGTGATTGATATCTATCAAATTATTTAATGTTTTAACATAAAAAATAGTAACAAAATGCACATTGTGTTGTTATTATTATTATTTTTTTGTGACTGTCACAGTACTGTAGCATCAAATTTGTAATCAAATTTATTAAATTTTGATTATTATATGATGAAAATTCAGACAGAATTTGGTATCATCAAAACTTTGAATTCCTACATTATTATAAGATTCAGAAAAATCTAACATTTAAATTGTAAAAATTTACAATTTAAATGTTATATTAGTTTAATAAAAATTGTTTGCATGCACACAACAATATATGAAATATATTTAGAAGTAAAAGTTACTTTAATTTTTAACTTTTTTGAAGAAATATAAGGAGTAAAATTCACAAAATAAGATAGATATATTAAACTTTTAATTAGTAAATAACAATTTATATTTAATTATATAAAAATAATCTGTTACTAAAGGTTAACAGTATCTGAAAATAGGTTAAAGTGCATGACATTAATAGCTGCAAATGAGGAAATTGACACAAATTTAAAAATCATGTTTATACTTTCCACAATTTTCAATGTCCTTCTAATTCTATTATTGAAATATATTCAAATTAAATCTGAATACTAGAAAAATTATAAGAATTTTATCATGTTTCAACATCTGAAGAATATTCTAAATATTAACAATTTTTAAATTCACAGCTAAACTTATAAAAGTGAAAACAAAATGAAATCTAATTATAATAATTAATTAATTCTTTCATTAATGAAAAAATACCCTCAATGAATGTAAAGATTTGCTCACAAAATTATTAATATTTAATTATTCATGCTTATTTATATGTTCACATAAATAAATATTTTGAGATTTATTTTGTTATATTTTATTTAAAATATTGATTATTACAATTACAGATACAGTCTGTTTTCAAAACTTTTCAGCATTCTTCAGAGGCCTTTGAGACACTGTGAGATATACTGATGTAGTATATAATCAATTTTAACAGGATTTAAAAAAAAATTTATATCATATATAATTTATAAGATGCAAAGAGAAACCAAATTATTTAGCTTCTATGATTTAAGTTTTTAATCAATTATTTCAATAATTTTCAAAATAAAATTATAACTAACTTATTTCGTCCAGCAAATAATATTGCTCCAACAGCTGTCAAAAGACCAATGACTGTCAAAGTGGAAGCAGTTGGAAGAAACGAAATTGTTTTCCACGTTAGAGGGATAAACTGATGGTCACTATCTTCTTGTAGTTCAAATATTCCACATAACAATAAAGACATTAAACATAATAGACTGATAACAGTTAAACCATGAACACAAATATGAACACGTTGTGATGATATCTGGAAAAAACAAATACTCATTAAACATAAAACTAATTCAAAACCTAATAAAATATTAAATTACATAACCACATTCTAAATTTCATATAACTATTTTACATTAATCATCTATTTAATTCATTTATTCATATTTTAATAATTTAATCTAAAAATATTCAATATAAAAGTTGATATTTTTATAATTTATAAAAAGGTTTAACGATTTTCTTGATATTGATCTTAATATGTATATATTTTTTGTACTTATAACATATATTTACAAACAAATTTCTATACACTTAATTTGCAGTAAACAAATAAAATTTTTTTTTGATATTTTTTCATAGCAAACATACTAATATAGTAACATTTTATTAATTAGAAACTATTATTTCAAGGATAAACAATTATGTTGCAATTTGACACTAAGGCTCTCAGTGTTTATTTTTCAATCATCCAATCATGTAAACAAGAAAACCTATATGTTTTTCTTATCAATCAAAATATAGAATAAACTAATTTAATATATCTAATGAATTAAATGTTTTTAGTAACTACTATAAATATTTATTTGAACTTTTCTAGATTATTTGACTAAAATATGAAATTAGATATAGATTCAGTTAGTATAATTGAACATTAAATCAATTTATATAAGATTTGCATAAATACATAACTATAAATAGGCAAAAACTGAATTAAAATAATTTATTGAGCTAAATAGATCAGTGATTTAAATCTATTAATATGAAATTTTAACTACTCACATTTGAATTTTTGTGATAACAGTAACCAAATATATTCAAAAACATCCAAAAATATAAGAATTTATATTGAAAGTTTGTATAAACACATTGAAGTTTTAAATTTATCTTAAAAAGTAATTAATTTACATTCCATAGAGGAGAAAGAATTTCAAAAACATATACAGTGGAACCTCTATATTTGTAATATTCAATATTCGTCACATTTTGATGACTTCTTTCCCCACATATTTTCTGTATTTAACCCTCTCTTTGTATTTTCTGTATTTGTCATCATTTCCAACACCAGCAGTGGCGCTACAATCACACACCCTGCCTATCAGCTAGCCGTGTTAACTTTAGTGTTGCCAATTTAGCTAATTTTTTGCTAGATTTAGTTGATTTATGAACAATCTACCTATGCAAATTACCTAAATTATAATGGCTAGCTATTTTTATGCTATCTAAATAAAAAAAAACCGAAATCGAACAATATTAATGGAAACAATATGATTTGAATATTTTTATTAAAATGTCTAGCTATAAATTTGAATTTTGAGTTGGCAACACTATGTCAGATAGCTGTAGTTAATCAGTCTACTTTGTGCAGTCATCGTTTGTGTTCTTGGTTTTTCACTTCGATTATTTTCAAAAACTCAAGTTCCAGTGGCTCCAACAAAGTGCACTGAAGAAAAACAGCAAAAAAGGAAAGTTGTTAGAACAAGAAAGATAAAAAAAATTTATTGCTGTCTGAAAATGAACAAAGAGAGGGTTAAATTTCAGATGCGTATACTTGTCATGGCGGCGGTCCCAACCGTTCATACTCCCAACTGACTCCTCCCAGAGGGGAGCCGCTGGCAAGCCTTGTGCCAAACATCACTAATTATTGATTCACAATAGTTCTTGAACACACTAGTTATCAATAACTAGTATGTATCAATCTGACGGGAATACAAACAATCGGGACTGCTGCCATGACAGTATACGCATCTGAAATTTAACCAAGGAGATATTGCACCCAAAGTTTTCATCTGTAAAATGTGAACATTCTTGTAAGCCTAGAAGTTTGACAATGGCATTTGGAATGTTGTAAAAAAATGCTCAATGTTTCAAACGCCATTGTCAAACTTCTAGGCTTACAAGACACTCAGCATTCAATGTTCACATTTTAGAGATGAAAACTTTGGCTGCAATCTCTCTAGTGTTTCCAACTTAGCCAAAAAATTTAATATGCCAAGATCATAATTGGAATTACCTAATGTTTTAATTGAAATTGTATCCTGACAATAATATACCTATCCAAATCAGCAATGATCAGTATGTTGTCAATACACACTTGCAACAATTTTGATGTAAAATATTGATGAACCTGGTGAAAATTTGGTTTAAACTAGTGCTTACCAATGTAATGTTGCACTAATTCAAAACTAGAAATTCTTGAAAATCAGTTGGTGTCTGATAATTGGTGATCAGTTAATCAGTTTTCAAGAAAACTGATTAACTGATCACCAATTATCAGACACCAACAGATTTCAAAACCGTTTTGAATTCAGTAGAATTAGTGTATTTTATTAATATTAATGAAATTTTAATAATAAAATATTAATTATTATTAATATCAATAAAGTACTACAGTAAATATTCATGAATATGCTTGTACCATGTTTCATTCTTGTCGAAAAGAAGTCAATGTTTTTTCAAAAATAAGAAATTCAAATTCATTACCCAACAGTTTATTTCCAATTTTAATATTATGATTACATCTAATTAACAGATTATTTTCACACACTTTAAATTTTTCTATATTTTTTTAAAATGCACTATCAAAAATTAAAAAAATAATTCATGTTCTGATGATAAAAATTTGTACAACAAAAAGTAATAATAAATTTATTATTCATACATACAGAAGGCAATGATTCGCTTGTTTCCCTGGAATTCCTAATTAAATCAGTTGGCAGTGTTGCTAATAATTCACTATCTTGTTTGGAAAGAATATTTTGTACTTTTATATCACACCAATGGCACAAATGATATGCTTTTTCTAATTGGCAGTGATAAGCATCTATTTCTTCTGAAAAACTATCCTAAATTAAAAATTAAGAAAAAAAATTTTTAAATCAGCATTTATTTATTGAGTTCTTACTGAAAATTATGTCATTTACCTCATTAAAAGGTACAAATTCTGACAGAAGCTTTATTTTTATCTGCTGGTTTCTGTTGCAATCCATACAGAGAGCACTTTTGGTAGAAAATTTATAACCATTAGCAGGAACACCAGTTACTGGGAAATTTAAACTTTCATCATACTGAGCAGGTATTGGTTTGTTATAATCATTATCCTAAATAGGAATACAAAAGAACTAAAATTAATTTTGACTTCAAAAATTCATTTAAAAACATAATTGCTATTCATCTAATAAACATTAATATTTAATGTTCTCAATTAAATAATTTTCATACTCACAAATACAAAACAGCTTTATTTAATCATTACAATATAATTTATAACTTTTAATGATTATTACAGTATAAGCTTAGTATTTTGGCAAGATTTACACTAAATTATTAGCTAATATTTTATTTATTAGAACAATTTGAAATTGCAAGTATTTCACTGTCTATTGGTAACCTTATTGATGGTATTATTTACAATACAATAATAAAATAGATAACTGAAAATTATAATTGCTCAGAGTTGGATTCAAATAAATGATTCTATAAGTTTCAATAATCCAATAATTTCTCATTCCTAGAATTAAAAGCCACTTATTTTTGGTAAAACATTAAGTTTTATTTAATAAATTTGTCTTATTTAAGAAAATAATTGAACAAAATCAGATATTCAAATTATTATAAGCTTTAAATTACAAATAAATGTTGCTAGACCGACAAGCGCTCTCGACGATAATTATTTTCGTCTTCATCAGGTCGTTAAAAACTACTTCCATTCTTGAAAGATCGAGGATTTATTCTATCCCATTGGAAAATATGTCGAGTGGGCGCACTCGTTATATTGTCACGACAACCAGAATGCTGTCTTGTCATATTTCAGAGCATCAGTATTCTATCAGGGAAGGCAAGAATGAAACTGAGCGTGCTAGAATAGTGTTACAACACCAACATACCTCGTTGTGGGACAAGGTAGCCATAATAAGACATTGCAACAACAGAAATGTAGTATATGTTTGGGAGGCCCTCCTTACCAACGTATTAAATCCCTGCAACACCCCCACACTTGATTTGCCCCCTTTGTGGATCAATTTGTATAACTATCTAAAACAACATATCTAGCTCCACAATTTGGAGGCGCATAGCACATGCGCATTATAACCATGCATGTTTTTATTTAAAAATTGTTTCATGTTCTACTGTTGCTTCCATTCCAAAACATTAATATGCTTGAACGGTCGGTTACTTGTAGTCAAAAAAGGAATTTAACCGTTTTTAACGGCCTGATGAAGGCGAAAATAATTATCATTGAAAGCGCCTGTCGGTCTAGCGACATTTATTTGTAATTTAATGCCTGTATGATAAAAATTTTCTCCTATTAAATGGTTGGGCGTGCTATCCACTTCTGTTTTATTATAAGCTTGAAAAATTAAAGGCAGATTCAAAGTTGCTGATTAATAAAAAAATAATTTGGAAAATCTAATTCTTTAAACTGTTAATTAACTATTAAATTAAATTTAATTATAGTAATTAATAATTTTATTCACCAATTCACTATCAGATTTTCTTGGAATACTTCTGTTGTAAACGGATATAATTCAAGAGATTCGTATGAAAAATAAATCATAAAAAATAAATATACAAATTCTTATTCATTAGCTAACTGAGTCATTTTAATATTTGATTTTCAAAACTCATATTTTATCAAAACTATATTTAAAGCAAGTGCAATTCCCCAAGCCTGAATCACTTCTTATTATGAAAATTTGCTCGAAATAAAGAAAATCAAAAGAAACACATAAATAAGATGATCTACTATATCAATTAAAACTAGGACATCATGTGACTTTGTCATATCACAATAGAATTGAGGCAGAGCCAAAAAGAAAGAAGCAATCTTTGCACCTGTTAGGCATAAGGGTCCATTTATACACAATAGTGATGTGCCGGCACAGTGACCGTTTGGTGACAGCGACATTGAGCATGGCACAGTGATGAGTATTTACACACAAGTGATGTGACCGTGCTGTTGGTGAGTGGTCATGGACTTTTCTGAGGATGAATTGGCTATGACAGCTACATCTTTGAATAAAGAAAAAAGAAATGCAATCAAAAACACATACATCAAGCATGGACAAAAAAATATCAACAGAATAGGAGTTTCATACTCTTTATAAAAAACTGATATGACAAATCTATACTTTTTGAATATTTTCAAATGTCCCAACATGCATTTCATATTTTATTAAACAAAACAGAGAAATATTCATTTTGTACCCAATGTCCATGTATTTCAAATGAGATAAATCAAATAAAACAGGGTGTTGATGCACAATTTCAATTAAATGTTCATCATCCATTGGAAAACAAAATTTATCATCAGTGAAAATATCGTTTCCGTCAAATTTACTTTTATGGTACGGTCACGCCACTGCCACTGCACAGCACTAAGACAGATGAGTCTGGACAAGGTGGTTTAAAACTAGGTCAATGATCTCCCATAGGCAAAAATTTACTGCACTGTGCAAGCACATCACTGTTGTGTGTAAATGGACCTTAAAAGACGTAATCTTTGTACCTGATGGATGCAAACAGGCCACCACTAAAGAGGCTATCCTTGTACCTGCCGGCCATAAAAAATATGATTTGCCAAAACAGAGAGGCAATCCAAGAACAAAGCAATTGCCATTGATTACTTATTTCGTGTGTTTTCTTCTTTTTTCACACCTATTTTCTGTTAGGCATTGTAGTTTTTATTTTTGACACCTAGGCCTAAATCCCAGAACACAGACATTGTCACTGATTCCACTGTATATCGAAAATGAAGTCATGGACCCTCATTGCATTTTTGGATTTCTTATTGCAATTAATAGAAAATGACAGAGTTTCATCAAAATCGATCCATCAAATTTTGAGAACAAACTCAATTCTATAAGTCTGTAGAAAACACACTAGTGACCTTGGGACATCACCTGACAAAACTGCAGGATTCATACAATATTATTTTGATGCATGCACTCATGCTATGACCTTATATCTCGAAAATGAAGTCATGGACTCCCATTTTTTATTACATTTTTACATACCTTATCACAACTGATAAAAAATGGAAAAGTTTAATCAAATTCAATCAAACAGATTTTCAGAACAAACAGCATTCTGTAAGCCATATAGAAGAGGCTTCACTAACACTCCACCTCAATTATGATATACATACTTCATATACAGTAGAATATCTAATAACTAAAATAATATAATGTACTACATAAAATACTTCTGCATTAGTAACAATGCTGTTAATATGCAATGTAAAACTAACATATCTATGAATTGTTCTAAGATCATATATAATTTATTAACTATGAACCATTCTCATCAAAGAAATGTATAAAATAAAATGACAATATTGATGATTCTATGTTGTTTTTGAAACCGTGTTTTGCAAATATATTGGACTTCGAACTCACATTTGAGTTATAAATAAACACTCAGCTTTATTTCCATCATTTTTAGTTGATGATGGAACCAAAAATGATGGAAATAAAGCCAAGTGTTTATTTATAACTCAAATGTGAGTTTAAAGTCCAATATTGATGATAACAAAAAGGGATATAAAAATTCCATTATATATAAAAATAAACAGTGAAATACTTTAAAGCAGATCTTCTTAAACTTTATCCATTCACATCCCCCTTTTGCCCAAGAACATATTTTAACTCATACATCATACAATCTATGAAATTCCAAGCAAATATTAGAGAAAAAGTTCAGTAAGCATTTCTTATTTACATTATATCAAAAAAAATACCCAGAAGCAATAACAACAACTCCAAATTTCAAAATAATAAAATTTCTATAAATTTCTATAATAAATAAATAATGATATAAAAATACCACTTTCTTTGTTTGTACATGAAAAATTTATATTCTGTTTCTAATGTTCTAGCTTAGCTTAGGAATAGGAATTCTTCCATTTTACTTAAAAAAGTTTCATTTGAGGAATAACATAAATGGTATGTAATCAGATATCTATTCTTAGATCATTTTTGACAACTAGTGCAGTCCTAGTAGACATAACAGAATTTATGTATTTAGTTAATATATAAAAAAGAAAGTATTTCTAATTTAACAAAAAGTGTAAGCTTTTAAGCTTACACTTTTTGTTAAATTAGATATACTTTCTTTAGCTTATTAGATTAGAAAATTAGAAAAGTTTGAATTCTTCCTTATATCTCATTTCTTTTCTAAGAAACCATAGTGTGAGATCAGCCGGGGGTACTAATGATCCTTAGCGGAGTTGTACTACTTAATCGGCCTATTCCGTGAGAATAGTTCTCCGAGTTTCGAATCGTAAGATCCGATCTTAAAAAGTTTACATAGGAGAGCGTAAATAAAAACGATCTGAACGGCGAAGTTCAGATGTTCGTCAGGATTCCTTGACACCAGTTAATCAATCTTATTATACGCGGATTAACACGTATTTGCGCTCTGATTCGGAATAAATTGAGGAGACATTCTTATAAAATAAAATAAGAGTAAATTTAATAATTCCAAACAAACAAATACAAATAATCGATAACAACAATTAAGCGACAAGCTAGAGGTTACGACTTAACCTATGCTAATGCGCGATCGAGAGAGAGAGCTCACAAAATTATTCTAAACATACGACCTGTTTCGTTGTCGTCGTCTTCGTTACTGTTGGTAAAGGACACGTTGTAGATAGATCGTACGGGAGATCAATTCGTGCACAAAATATAAAAGTATCACTTCTACGTATAGACTCGGGACTTAGTCTATGGGACTCCGTTAAGGGCGTTGGCCATCAGGAGGAAAACTGCGTGGAGTTTAGATGCTTCGGATCTGTCGAAGAACCCCTCGAATTCGAACTCAATTCCCTTATATCTCCTGAATTTCGACCAATCATCGGCCAGTAACTCTTCCATGAGAACGGACGAAAGGGGGCTGAATGAGGGGTAACCATTTCCCATCTGAGCGAGATTTTTAACCAGATAAGGGAAAGTCAGAGGATGTTCTCTTCTGTGAAAGGAAGTAACATCTGTTATCTGGTTTTTCCCCACGTCCAAAACACTAGTTTTCACAAAAAATGAAGTAATATTTTGTGTCGATATTTAATATTATTAATAAAAATTCACAAATTAGACCCAGGGCCTTTCGGATCTCACAATAGATAAAGTTGTTAAGTTCATAGTTGCTTGAGAGCATATATGATTTTTTAGTAAAAAAAAATTTAGGCCAATGCCTAATGGAGAATCAGACAGATATAATGAAGGAAAGCAATAGTATATCTTTAATTCGTTTTGCTTTACATTTCAACCATAAACTTTTTGGAAAAATGCTAATATCATCAAGTCTTTGTCACTGATGATTCTGATTTGAATAGAATAAAAAATGATCTTAATCATTCAAACTGCATTTTCCAGACCAAACAATGCTGATTTATAACAATCTTTATGGTTACCTTGCCATTCAATCAGAATTAAGTAACTTATTGCATTGCAATTTGAAAAAATTGTAGACCTATAAATTTCCATTGTTTACCCTCCACTGTCTATCTGTGTTTTCTTAATCTCAAAAACAATGTTAAATAAATAAAATTCAAGTCCAGATATGAAAAGCTTAGGAGCAGGAGGCCCAATTAACTATATATGAGTTTCTGATGCAAACCAAAAGTCACATTATTTCAATTCAAAAATTTTTCCCTGAAAGGAGTTAGATAGATGACTGGCATGACTCCATTGCTAACAGAAAAGTATGATGTACAGGAGCAAGAAACTACAGTACTAATTTGAGGTGATGAGCATATATTTTAAATTAAACAAATTAAAAATTGCAGCCCAGCATTATGACAATGTCACAATACATATTTCTCATTCTATATATAAATTCATAGCAAGTTATTATAGAATATTTCAAGATAATTTAACCAAATATTTTCTTGCTGTTTTAATTTGACTCACAACTCTAAATAATTATGATCTCAAAGTTAATAAATGATATTTAAAGAATTTCAATTTTTTACTCTTAAAATACTCAATACATTAAAAATATTAAGATTCCAAGACAAAATATTAGCTAAACAAAATGGTTATAATGTTATGACTTCTAAATTTTAAAACTGACTGATGAAAATTAAATTATTCAATTAGAAAAACTGTTAATGAAAACCACATTTATTAAAAACTGTAATATAAAGAAGAGCTGCAGATAAAAACTACTACTTGACATAATAGTTTATAAAATATTCAGCAATCAGCGATTTGTTTAATAAGAAGCTGTCTCACAGATTATATTGATTAATGACAAAAGAAAAGCATTCCTTTGCTATATAAACATAATCACGTTAAGGATGATGATAAAACATATTCATTAATTTTATACTATCCATGAATCTATAATGTGTAAATCATTGATATACAAAAGAAATTACAACTGTCTTTAAACTTTTTTTTCCTTTTCATTCATCTTTTAAACTAGAATTAGTAAATGAAAGTACATAAAATCAAGACTAGTGTCATAGCCAGAATCTGGAACCATATATTTTTTAAACAATTATTGGCACCAGGTCAAAATTTATTAGGCTTTTTATAGGCTTAGATGTTAATTTCTTCAGCTATTCTATACAAAGTTTTAAACTTTTTACCTTACAAATATTTTAAAAATTTCATAAATCTAATAAAAATTCTCTAACAGCTTATATTTCTGACATACTATCAAAGATATATTCTTGAAATATATGTTTATTTTTTCAGAATTAAGTTCCATTCATTTTCCAACTAGTGGGAAAGCTATGATTGATAACTAAAATTTTAGTTCAAGATATGAAAACCTCAGCTCCAAATTAGAAGAGAAGATAATGTCAAATAAACATGTATATATTTCATTATCAGTTGTTCAATCTTTTATGAGCCAGTTGTGAAGTACAAAAATAGAGATCTCAGACATAAATGCAAACCCAAAAACAGAGTATATTAAACTAATTAACTTTAATCAAATATTGAAAGGCATACAAAAAGAGACTGCTAGAAGCAACAGATACATCTATTCAGTGGTGATATTCAGCGGGTTCGCACAGGTTCGGCCGAACCCGTTGTTAAAATTTTCAAAGTTTTCCGAACCCGTTGTTAAACACACGTAACATTTCTCAGTGATTTTGTTTCTTTTAAAAAATATATTAAAATATACGTATTATACTCTGTAACACTACTAAACTAGAGCCTTATACCCTGTTCGCCTAGTGCAACCTCCATCGACCGTTTCAATCTCGACTAAAACGAGGTTCAATCGCGATCGACTCGAGAGAGTTCTCGAAACTAGATCCAGTCATAAGAGAGATCCCACAATCCCACGCGCGCGAGAAAATACAAGATGGCTGCGGAGCACGTGTCGGGCTATCAACAGCGAAATAAGAAAGATATTGTATTTCGAGAGACGATGACATCTGTCTATTATTATAATAATACCTAACGATAAAATAAATGATTTAGAAAAGTTTTTCTTGTTTAACTGCTTTCCCTATGACTTTTTCTGATTAAAAAAAAAGCCAATTTTTATGTTTATAAAATATTTTGAATGAAAAATATTAAAATATGTTATTTTTTTTATTATTTATAAAAAAAATATAGTTCTGGCATACACAATGTTAAATTTTAACTGACTTAATTTTGTGAACGCATCTTTTTTATTTATATGGGTATCTTAAGGTCAGTTTTTGCGCTAATGTTGCTAATGCACCATTTGAGCGAAAAAAAAAATTGTCAAGGAAAAATTTTCTGTTAGCGAACCCTTTGTTAAATATTTCGAATATCACCACTGCATCTATTACAGCATGAACTTGACTGTCTATCAACCAACTTCTAAGAAATGATGAAGGCTTATAGGATCTACCCAGAATCCCTGGAGTATATAAGATTCCAATATAAGTTCATCATTTTGGCACCTTACTTGAGTACATAAGAGTCCCAACTAAACCAATACTTAAAAGAAGCACTATTGGACAATAAAAAGACCACTTGTGGTACAAAGACACATGCTACTAAAGCATATACATATGTATCAGAAGTTCACGTGAACTTAAACTTAAAACTGGAACTCTATACATTTTTTAACACAGTCATTGTATGTGGTCCTGCAGCCATAATGGATAAACCTCAGGTTATAACACTTTCTTATATTTAATGTACTTTTTATTTTTTATCTTTATTTTATTTTTACTTTCTATGCAGTGCAACCCGTGGGGTTTGTTATAACTCCAGGGGTCACACTGCATACTGCCAAAATCACCACTTGGCAATATTTTTAATAAAGTGGCAATAAGAACCTAGTCTGCTTATTTCAACATTCAGCATGAAATTGAATCACAAGGCACACTTCAGGAAAAACAGCAAAATGTTGAGCTCTGTGCAATGGTAGTCCTGTGCACCACACTTAACAATTTCATGACCTCATGTGGCAAGTTCAAGCAAGAGAGCAGAAAATGACATTGAGAACTGAAGATAGTTTTTGTGCAATGCCACCTAGCATTTGTAGCTTGGGAATTTTTTTATTGACTGTCAGAAAATGTAGAAATTTTTTGTTTGAAAAAGTTTCTGGAGTAAAAAAATTTTTTTTTCATTCCAAAAACTCTCATCTTTTTTCAGTAGACTAAAACATAAAATTGTTTTTTTTTTTTTATTTTATATAAAAATTTTGACATGACAGAACATGTAAAATACTGTTTAATAAATTACTGTTAAATATTCGCGTTTTTCACGAACTATAGAGGGCGCTGTATTTTTACAAAATGGCTACTCTATCTGGGTCGTTTGTTAGTCGTCAGTGTAAAATGAATTATATATTACTATCTGATGTAATGAAATATGCTACTTGTAGCAGTTCATCGAGAAATTTTATAGAAGGAGAACAAGTATTACTAGCAGGACACGTCATTTTATGTGGTATTGTCGAGAAAAACGAGCAAGATCGTGCTGTACATTTTTGTGCTCTTTGTCTGCAAACATCAGCATTGACTTCTATCCCACACAAAATTACTGGAATTTTAAAGTTTATCGACATATCATATAAAATTGACAGCGTAACTTGTTCCTGTAAAGCTGGACAATCGGGAAAATGCAAACATTGCTTGGCAGTATTACTCTATCTTAACAGGTAAGTTTGTTTTTTTCTACAACACGATACGTATTTTAGTGTAATATAAGTAGCTAATTAGTATTGAAGGTTAATTAATTAGGTTTTTTTAAGATTTAATAATGTTTATATTTACTTCTAGATTCAATATATCTTAATCTAGTAATTCTTTACGTTTTAGTTATTATACTACATTCTTTCCACTTGCTTTTTTATTGTTTTACCTCATTTTTGTAACAATAAATAAATAACTAAAATTATGATGAATTTATTTAATTATAGAAATTAATATATGAAAAAAGTTTGGGTAGTTGCTTAATTAATAATGAATTATCATTATCTTTAGAAATAACATAGAAGGACTTGAGAAATTATCTAAGACAGACTTGGAATGTTCTTGGAACAGATTAAAAGAAAATGTCCATTCTAATTACGAAATAATACCAATAAAGAAATTTTGCCATACTGGATCTAATATTAGCAGACTAGCTTTAAATATTGATCCCGAAAAATGCTTAAACATTTTAACAGAAGTTACACCAAATTCTTCACTAACAAAACATATGTAAGTTTTATCTGTTTTAAATTATATGAAATGATTGGTATAATATATTAAGTTTATTATTATTATTATTATAGGAAAGGACGGAAAAGCCTTGCATCATTATCAGAAATAAAGAGAGATATCAACAGAGTTAATCAGAATAATGATGTCAATGTCAATGCTATTTTCTCCCACATTCAAAATTTTAGTTCAATTGGAATTTTTAATTATAATAAATTGTATTATACAAGTGTTATAAAAAAAGAATTAATATTAACTTTTAAAGATATTGGTTTAGAAGATTTGCCAAAAAGTTTGATTTGTTATTATAAAAATAAAGTTATGGTCACCAATGAAGAATGTAAGAGAATTTGTGTGAAAAGTAAAGTAAATAAAATATTATGGAAGAACGAGAGGAACAAAAGAATTACAGGCAGTATATGCTATAATTTTTATACATACCATTTCAATTGTAATCCGAATTGGAATGAAAAATTTGCAAAGCGCAATATTTTTGGGGGGAATGAAAATACAGCATATGGCCTCTTGCATGAAAATGATGCAAGAGAATTGTATTCTTCACATTCTGGCAAGAGAATTGTAGAATTTGGCCTGATTATTTCACCAGCTTTGCCATGGTTAGGATATACTCCTGATGGAATAATAATAAAACAAAATATTCCAACTTCTCTTTTAGAAATAAAGTGCCCAGTAAAGGGAAGGAATGAACCTATTCAAGCCTTAATTCAAAAGAATGCATTGAAATTTATTACAATTAATGGTGAAAATGTTGAATTAAGAAAGAGACATAAATATTATGGTCAGGTTCAGCTAGGGTTACTAATAACTAATTTGCCAGTGTGTGATTTTGTTATATATTCATCATTTGATAATTCATTTATTTCTTTTGAAGTAAAAAAAGATGATGAATTTTTAAATAAATTTATTTCAATATTAAAAGAAGTATATTTTAATAAAATGCTTCCATTTTTAGTTAATGAAAGTAATGAGTAGATTAAAAGTATATAAACATTTAAAAAGTTTTTTCTTTTCTAATACATAATGCTTGTTTAACATGGATGTTCTAATTGAAAGATTATCTTGTAAATATCTTATTAAATGAAAATTGTAAAAAAATCTTGTGTATGAATATCTTATTAAATGACAACTGTAAAAATCTTGTGTGTGATAATGTATTAAAAATATAAACAATTACACAATTATTAAAATAATTTTTATTTACAATATGGTAATTTTGAATTAAAATTTGTCATCTGACAGTATAGGAGAAGAAAGATTCCCTACAGCTGTTGCAATAATTAAAAGTTCATCAATAACAGAAGTCATTTTCCAGGGAAGTCTTGCTGAAAATATCTTAAACTGTTTAATTCGCTGAATAAATCTTTCAACGTGCACTCTGGCACATGCAATATCCTTTGTTCTCAGTGCTTCACATTTATTTAGTTGTTTATTTTTTTTCAAAAATGGTGGTTGAATTACTTCTATTCCTTTTTCTAAACAAAGTTTATCAATTAAAAAGCCTTTATCAACCATCACTGAGTCACTATAAGGTGTTAATAAATTTAAGATATCACTCTGTTCAAAGATTGCCTTATCAGAAGTTCTGCCTCCATATGCACTACTTAAAAATGTTGCAATTCCACCTGGTGAAACACCTATTAAAAATTTTATAGTTGTGTCACCTTTATAGTGTGAGTAGCAACGTATTCGACACTTTAAACACTTTGGTCTCTGCACTGTAATTTCTGAGCAGTCCAAAATTACTCTTACATTACGAAACTTGTCGAAACATTTAGGCATATTTTCTAAAATATTTGTTTTTGATGGCCAAACAATTGCACACTTAAGTACGGAAGCAAGAATTTTCACACTTGGGTAAAATATTCTACTTGCAGTTGGTACAGAACAATGAAAAAATATAGATATAACAGAAAAAGAAATATTTAATTTCATTTTGATTAGGACCATAAAAAGTTTATCTTCAAAAGAAAAATTAGTATTACTGATTTGTTTTGTTTTACATACATCACTAAAAAGTTTAACAATAGCATTAAATAGTTCAAAAGTTGGTATACCAGTAATGGAATTTAGTTGGGATTCTGTCTTAATGAAATTACGTATATTTACCAAAAATTCTGCAGTGGATATTTGTATGCCAACTGATCTGTGACATTTTAAATTTTTATCATAATTAGAATTGCATAACATTAAAAGTGTTTCAGCAGCTTCTCTATCATTAATTTCAGACTCAATTGCATGGGAAGTTTCTTCTATTTGTTCTCTATCACTGATTTCTGACTCAATTGCATGGGAAGTTTCTTCTGTCTGATACGTTTTTTCTGAAAACTTATTTCTTTTAATTCTTTTAGAACATGTTTTTGTACAAATACTGCTCTCTGGTAAAAGTAAACTTGGTACGGCAGTTTTCTTTAAATGTCTTCTTTTACATGCATATGCTAAAGTATAAATAAGAATTATTTCACAATTTGAATAGAATTACATTTTATTGAAGATAATCCTATAGTATAGGTTAAAAATGAATACAAATACTAAATTACTTTATATTTAGACTCTATGCAATCTTTTTCAGTTTGATTTTTTAATACTATCGAATTACAATAATCTAAACATATTTATAAAAACACGATAGCATACTTACATGACAAAATATAATCTTCAGGAGTAAAATGTTTCGAACATACTACCATATACTTCGTAACTTTTTTTCCAATTCTTAGCAGTCGAATCCACTCTTTCCGTCGGTTACATTTCTGAGATTCTCCGAATTCTGATTTACGAAAAATCATCTGTTTTTCATGTGGGAATACATGAAAACTTATATCGGGATCGCGTATGGCTTTGGAATTACAATTTGGAACACAACAGAAAGCTTTACTTTTACTATTCATCTTTACTGCTGACAATATACGAAGAACATTCGAACGACCCAGATAGAGTAGTTCTGTTTTTAAACACCAGAGGGCGAGCATCCGGTGAAAAACGCGAATTGTGGTCAAATGTGTTAATTTGGAATTATTCATTAAAAAATTATTCAAAAATGATTCCTATTTCTAAGTGACAGCTTAACGTGACTCTTGCTTTCCAGACTCCAAACTGAAAAGGCTACCAGAACCTGCGTTTATTAGTAAGTAAAACAGGTAGCAATAAATAATTTGAAGTAGCAAAACAAATTTTAAACTGGCAGAATTGTTGGCAATTTTTAATAATTTTCCAGAGCAACCCATGTTAATTTCATAATTACCATTTTATACTGTTATGCTACTACAGTAGAGCGTCGATTATCCAAATCAATTGGGGACTGAGGTTGTTCGGAAGATCGATGTTTCAGATAACTGATTATGTACGAAAAAATATATTAATTTATCCCATCTTGACATTTTTCTCCATTGCGTGTCACTTTGCGTTGAATTTTCGTCGATGTTAAGCGTAACAAAGACTATTGTATCGTTAAAAATTATTTTTTTTATTTTGCACGAACAAAATAAATATAATGAAAAATATAAAAACAATAAAAAATTATACTTCAGAAGTTAATTTAGTATCAAAAACGTAAAATATTTAAGTAGCCCAAGACATAGCCAAAGATTGAAGTGCCACAGCACTGGCGAAAATTTCAATTTGCCTACTGGAATTCTTTCGGATGATTGATGTTTCAGATGACTGACTTTCGGATAATCGACGCTCTACTGTATTTTGTACTTAACCAACTTTTCCTATATTTTAAAAATTTTTATATTCCAAGATCATTATAACTTTCAATATTTTTAAACTTGTCCATTTTATTCCATCTATAAACATTCTCTGAGCATCTTTGATATTTGAAGTAATGTAGCCTGATCAAGACCTTTGAATAAGGTCAAAAACATTTGTTATCAATAGAAATGATGTTAATTATAAAAAAGATCATTTGTACTATAAATAAATTATGTACAGTACATATAATTGAAAATTTACACTACAGATTAATTCTGTAAAAATTCATTTAAATTAAAATAATGTAAAATCTTAGATCTATTCCTCTATTTTTCACAAAAACATCAGTCTTAGTTTATATGATTTCAATTTATTCTTCTTTACTTAGTAGATGTCTACTAAATAAAGAAAAGTTAGGCATATATATAATTTTATAACATACATATTGGTGTTTATATACATAATATGAAGAAAAAAATTATGAAATAAATGTTCACAAAGTACAAAAATTATCTTGTAGTTTTCCAATTCAATAAAATTTTAATGAATGCTTATAATATTTAAAAATATTAGTTAATTATTTTATCATCATCTATAATTCTAAAGTTTATCATAAACTTATTTAAAATTAATAATAAAAAAAAATCATACTTCTTGAAACCCATTGTACTGTTCACAATTTGGACAATCCCAACAATTGCTGTTACCAAAAGGCACTACAGTATTTTGCCTGCAAAACCAGCAATTAACTCGAATAGGAAAATGAGGCCTAGAAAATAATTTTAAAATTATAAATTAAATGTAAAAATACAGGTAAATCATTTTTTAACATTGAAATATTTTACTTTTATATTTAATAAATTATATTTACTCTTATAACTAAATTTATTAAATAACTATCATTTCACAATTAATTATACATTTTATCAAACCTCCACATTTTATCAATTTTACATATTTGATATCTGAATTTTTGATTAAAACAAAAGATTGTTTAATAAAATATTTAAAGAGACAATTATATAATTATTTATTTTGATATAATATAATCACTCAGTTTGGTATCTAATACATTATCATCAACTGTACTATAATAGATTAAATAATTTTGTTATATGAAAATTAATAGCTCATAAATAAATATTGAATATAAAATATATTTGATTATTTGTCATGCATTGGTTTGTTATGGGGATGAGAAAAATTCATCAGAGATGTATAAAATGGATAATTTTCAAACAATTATTTGCACCTCTGCTTTTATAGTTGAGTAGTTCATATCTGCTAATTAATGAAAAAAATATAAAAGAAGAAAATAGTGAATGATATCACTTCACCAAAGCAGAAAACTTGTGAATGTGAAAAAGAAAGGAATTTAAAAAGTAACACAATAAAATCATATTGGAAAAAACTACATTAAAAAATAAGTATTTAAAACTATAAACAAAAATGAAAAATTGATCTAGTGTAAAAAGACTAAAATAGCAATGATTGATGACAAAAGAACAAGAAAATATATGAATGGAAGCACAAACATTTGGATGGACAACATGAATGTGTGGAGGCAAATATTCATCTTTGATTTGGCACAATTTATTGACAAGAATCAGAAAACAGCAAATACTGAACATTTGTCAAAAGTAAACCATCCACACTACTTGGTATTTGTCATTTAGAAATTGGTACCAAATGTTTACTTGGCATTCAGCAAATACTGAATTTGTGGATGTGCCCTAAGAGACATGTACAAGAATATAAACATTGAGTCTTATTTTTGGCTAATAAAACAAATTATACTAATAACGATTTTGTCATGTCTCTTTTGTTAGATCCTTCTTTAAAAAACCAAGACCACTTAATCAACTTCTAAAAATATCTTTTATTGTAATGCATTTTGGACGGAAGACCATATCCTCCTTCAGGCAACTTTTTTCTCACAAAAAAGGAAACCATCCTTTGAGCAACTTTTATACAAAATACCAACACAAATACAAGTTTACAAATCATTCAAGGAATGACTTGTAAACTCCCATCTGAAATGCATTGCATGACAATGATGACAAAATTGTTAAGTCTGGTTGATTTTCCTAAACCTCAATTAAAAATGTATTAGTTAATTAATATAGGCAACTAATTTCATAGTTGCTTATATTAAGTAGGTTGAAAATGTTTGAGAAATAAAATAATTTATGCTCGACAAAAACTTCAGGTGTGTTGATATAATTTAGTTGTAGTTGCTGAGAAGGAGGTGGATGATTTCACAGTTATTTTATTATCTCTCTATTTTTTATTAATATTGTAATTATAATCATGTTTTTCATTTGGTACTGAATATTTTTTATACAACTAGAATTAATTGAATTTTGTACATTCAAATAAGATACGTTTACAATTTTTCAAAAAGGACATGAGGATATGACTTTTAAAAAAATATTCAATATTAAAATTATTATTGAAGTTATATTCTTAACTTAGAAGTATCAATTTAAGGATAAAAATTAATTTGTTTTGCATATATGTATTGTATAGGAACTAAGGAATGAAACTTATTTATAAATGCATAAATCACAGACATTTTTTATATTCTCCTGCAAAAAAAAACTAATTAACTCTATGAGCATATGTCCATTTATAGCAGCACTTTAATTAAATTTCAAAACTAAATATACAGATAACAATCAGATAAAGCAGTATATGAAAAAAAGTATAGCAAGTAGGAATGAAGATGATATCTGGATTCTAGCCAAATGATTTAGGTAACAAACAGCACAAATATTTCAGATGATACTAAATGTAAAAAAGTAATTTTTCAAAAATAGAAAATTTGGAACAGTCATTAGAATTTATTTCATAACTTTTAATGTTTTATTAGATACATTCAGAATAAAATATATAAAATACTACAAAAAGGAAAGTGCATATGCATTTGTATGTATCTGTGTGTGCTTTCTTCTATTTTGCATGTGTATGTATGGCAATAGNTAACTTAGAAGTATCAATTTAAGGATAAAAATTAATTTGTTTTGCATATATGTATTGTATAGGAACTAAGGAATGAAACTTATTTATAAATGCATAAATCACAGACATTTTTTATATTCTCCTGCAAAAAAAAACTAATTAACTCTATGAGCATATGTCCATTTATAGCAGCACTTTAATTAAATTTCAAAACTAAATATACAGATAACAATCAGATAAAGCAGTATATGAAAAAAAGTATAGCAAGTAGGAATGAAGATGATATCTGGATTCTAGCCAAATGATTTAGGTAACAAACAGCACAAATATTTCAGATGATACTAAATGTAAAAAAGTAATTTTTCAAAAATAGAAAATTTGGAACAGTCATTAGAATTTATTTCATAACTTTTAATGTTTTATTAGATACATTCAGAATAAAATATATAAAATACTACAAAAAGGAAAGTGCATATGCATTTGTATGTATCTGTGTGTGCTTTCTTCTATTTTGCATGTGTATGTATGGCAATAGACAGAACGTACACACATTTTATAATTTTAAATAAAAGTTTTTAAATTACAGAACTCAAAAAATTTACAAAACATTTTTGGATGCTTGCCAATCTTGTTAAAAGGATATTGAAATGTGTTTTTCTTTAAATTATTATTTCTTTCTTGATAAGTATTTTACATTGCTAGTAAACAATTTAAATCTTTATCAGTCATTTTTACTTAATTAACACACTAACTCAATAAGATTGTCTAATAAATACAATATATTTTTATTAATTTATTTTTAATGGAATACAATCTTAAAGTTACTAGATGTAAACGAACAAAATATGATTATTATAAATTTTATGAAAACAAGTAAACATATAAAATTTTGAAAATATAAAAATATTTTAATAACACCATTATTATAATTTAAATAATTTTTAATTATGAAAATTTAAAAGGATTTATAAAATTTTCAATAAAGAACATAATCTTATCAATTCAGAAAAACTAGGTCAAGTGATTAATATTATCTGAATTAAAACTTTATTATTATTTGTACAATTGTAAATTTTTTTATCAAACAATATATATGCGATATTAAAGAATTTTAAATTTATATAAAAATATATATTTTATTCATAACATAATACAATTAGTTATATTTATTGATCATTTATATAATGATAGTTATATACTGTATTGATTTTGTATTTGTGTATAGTATACTCATATGCTTATTCCTGAAAGCAACTATTTCATTGTTATTATTAAAAACAAAACACTGACTTTTACTTCCAATAAATAATAAAAATAATTTAATAATCTATGGAAAATAGCATTCTAAAATATAATTAGTTATATATTTTCATTTATAAATTTATAGTTTAAAATTTTTTCCAAGACAAAAAAAATGCATTGAACTAATATCAAAAATGATTTTTTATTAAAAAAAACTTTATTTTTTTTGTTTAACAAATCATCTAGATTTTTGTGATATTTAATTTAGAATTTAATCAATATAGAAGTAACATTTCCCTAGTATAGTTGAACAGCTCATATCTAGGTAAGTTCCCCTTGTCTGGATTCAAATATAAATAATCAAGCTATAATAATAAATTAATTCTCTTATATGAAAAACACTTTTCTCTTCTTGAAAGTTATAAATCATACAATTATCTGTAATCTTTCATTTATTTTTTTTTATTAAATAAAAAGTAGATTTTAATTTCTTTTTGTCTAATAAAAAAAATTATATATACATGCATACATATACAATATGGTTATATATATATAAAATTAAGGCTGAATTAGTGCTGAAACAACTTTCAGATTAGCATGGCTAATTAATTAGCCAAACTCTGGCCCTATAGTTAATCTAACTCCTTCATTTGATTATTAATATATTCAGTATGGACTGTCATACTGGGCAAAAAATTATTGTGTTACTTTTTAAGCCATCTTGTGACTTAGTTTTGAGCAATACAGTGTTACCAAAGTAATAAATAAATATACAAAATGAAGAATTAGGTTGTTATTTTATAGACTGTAGAAAGATAGACAATAATTACAAAATTTCTGAGTTTTAAGTTATATTTATCCAGTTAAAGGACTTATTAGTTTAATAATAAAGAATTATTCTTGTTTACATTAATTCTTACTACTTTTTCAATTACTTTTCAAATGATTTTGCTACTTCTGGGAAAGTTTTTCATTTTCTCTTAAATCAACAAGCAACTCCACTAAAAGTCTGAAATAAAAGCATTCTAATTTTTACATGCTAATTTAGAAAAATACTTTAAACTTTATTTTCATTGAAATCATTAGTTGTATGATTTGGTATAAGTCAACTCAAACTTGCAGGACAGTCCAAAAATAGAAATAAAACCAAAACAAGATGAATCATTATGAAAAAAAAAAAATGAATGTCAAATATAAAATACTTTTTTCTTTCATTTGAACTTGTATTAATGATACTGGATATAAATAGTTAAGTTATATAGTGTTATATTTATCAAACAATGTCTCCAACATTTTGTAAATGTCTTTTGATGCTAAATCATTTTATTTCAATATGTAGCATTAGTTTTTAACATTCTGAATAAGATAACAAATTCTGAATTTTCAATCTAAATTTGAATGATATGAGGATTTGCTGCTAATTTATAAGTTAAATTCACATGAAAGCTTTCAATGTTCTCATGATATAACTGTTTGTTTAATTATCAGAATTATAACTATACAAAATCAGTAACATAATTAAATTATCAATATATAAATAACCAAAATTTAAAGGCTATTCAAATTAAATAAATTAAAAGTGTTTTTTTTTGTTTTTTTAAAACAAGTCTTGACAGCAAAGATCATATTTATTGCTACTTATAAAAAAAAAATTAATTATATTTAAAAATTTCTAAGTATTTTCAGTGGAAATTCTCAATAATGAATGAAAAATATAAAATAAATATCTTTTGTAAAAGTAAAAAAATTTTTTTTTGTAAATATGTTTTTTGCACCATCTTTATATAATTAAATACTTCTAGCTTCAACAATTTTCAAAACATTGTCTTTTATTTATATAAATAAATCACTATAAAATCTCAAAAAAAAATCTATATTCTAAAATAATTAGAAAATTTTTTACATTTCAAATATTTAAGTTCTGAATTCTGTTATTTCATCTTTAGAAACACCCTCTAATTTAAAATAACCTCATTAGTTTGTAGACTAAACAAAACAGACTAATGAGATTTATTTCATATTGAGAGTACTTTTGAAAATAGAATGGTGAATGATGACTGATGACAACAAAGTCTTGAAATACCTGAACATTTTAACAGGCTGATTATTGAATGTCTTTGATGAAAGAAACAAAGTTTTTAGAAGGAGCACTTACCTAAGTTGAAAACATTTTAATTTGTAAAAAGGAATTTTGAAGAGAAAATAGTCTGCAATTCCTTTATAATAAAAAGTGAAAAATTTTAACTCGTGTACAAACTCTATGTTAAAAATTAAACATCTATTTCTTTTGTACTTCTTATTTGTTGGGGTGCTATATTAATATGTAATGTTTGCTGTGAGAAAAATCAACCTAATTAAAGAGGATTAAAGTGATTGAAGATAATAAAATTCTTTTGTACTGTAAAATTTCTGTAAAAGTTTATTAAAAAAATGTTATTGAGATTATATCACAACAATTTTAATTTTTAAGTGCTTTTCTCTATTTTTTATATGATTACTGAATATTTGTAATTTTAAAAATATCCGACGTTATTGTCTATC